CCTCAGTGTCCCCAGTGACCCCCACTTCCAGTGTCCCCATTGTCCCCGGTATTCCCCTCATCCCCAGTAACCCCATTGTCTCCAATGTCCCCACTGTCCCCAATGTCCCCATCACCTTCAATATCCCCAGTATCCCCCTCATTTCCAGTGTTCTCTGTGTCCCCAGCATTCCCAGTRCCCCCAGTAACTCCAGTATCCCAAATACCTCCACTGGCCCCTGTGTCCCAGTGCTCCCAGTAACCCCAGTAATCCCAATGTCCCAAATATCCCCACTGTCCCAGAGTGTCCCAATGCTCCCAGTAACCCGTGTCCCCAGTTTCCCGGTGCCCCCAGTAACTCCAATATCACCAGTCCCCAGTGTCCCCAGCTTTTCCAGTACCCCCCGTAATTCCAGTATCACCAGAGTCCCCAGTGCTCCCAGTGCCCCAAATAACCCCAGAGATCCCAGTGCCCCCAGTAACTCCAGTATCACCAGTATCCCCACTGTCCCAGAGTGTCCCAGTGCTCCCAGTAATTCCAGTGTCCCCAGTGTCCCAGTGTTCCCAGTAACTCCAGTATCACCAGAGTCCCCAGTGTCCCAGTGCTTCCAGTAACCCCAGTAACCCCAATGTCCCAAATATCCCCACTGTCCCAGAGTGTCCCAATGCTCCCAGTAACCCCAATGTCCCAAATATCCCCACTGTCCCCCCGTCCCAGAGTGTCCCAGTGCTCCCAGTAACCCCAGTAATCCCAATGTCCCAAATATCCCCACTGTCCCCAGCACTCCCAGTAACCCCAGCTCTCCCAGTGCCCCCAGTAACTCCAGTATCCCAAATATCCCCACTGTCCCCAGCACTCCCAGTAACCCCAGCTCTCCCAGTGCCCCCAGTAACTCCAGTATCCCAAATATCCCCACTGCCCCCAGCATTCCCAGTGCTCCCAGTAACCCCAGTGTCCCAGTGCTCCCACTAACTCCAGTATCACCAGAGTCCCCAGTGTCCCAGTGCTCCCAGTAACCCCCAGTGCCCCCAGCTTTCCCAGTGCCCCAAATATTCCCAGAGATCGCAGTGCCCCCAGCMTTCCCAGTGCYCCCAGYAACTCCAGTATCMCAAATATCCCCAGTGTCYCACTGYCCCCAGAGTCCCCACTGTCCCCAGTGTCCCAGTGCTCCCAGTAACTCCAGTGCTCACAACATTCCCACAGACCCCAGAGTCCCCAGTATCCCCATTGTTCCCAGTGCCCCCAGTATCAGCAGTATCCCCAGTGTCCCCATTGTTCCCAGTGTCCCCAGTTTCCCAGTGCCCCAAATATCCCCAGTAACCCCAATGCCCCCAGCGCTCCCAGTAACCCCAGTACTCCCAGCATTCCCAGTGTCCCCAGTGCTCCCAGTGTCCGGCACCGTCCCACGCTGGGAGTGGCCAGCTGTGGTGTCAGGCGGGATCCAGGAAGAATTTGGGCAGGATCCGGGAAGGAACCGGGAAGGACGCGGGCAGGAGTCAGGCAGGTGTCACCTGTCCAGGTGAGGTGTCACCGGCCCAGGAGAGGTGTCACCRGCCCGGGTGAGGTGTCACCGGCCGCGTGCAGTGGCCGCGGGGCTCGGAGCTGCCGGGAACCTGTCGGGCCAGAYCGGCCGGACAAGACTCACCTGGCCGGACTCATCCACCTGGGCAGGGGGCGGAGCAGGGACTGACCTGGCCGGGATCAGGGGCCAAAACTCACCTGGACAGGGGGAGGAGCCGGGACTGACCTGGCCGAGATCAGGGGCCATAGCTCACCTGGACAGGGGGCGGAGCAGCGACTGACCTGGACAGGGGGAGGGGCCGAAATTTATCTGGACAGAATCAGGTGCCAAAATTTACCTGGACAAGGGGTGGGGCCTGGACTCACCTGGCCGGACTCATCCAGGAATCACCTGGACAGGGGAGGGGCCGGGACTCACCTGGCCGGGATCAGGGGCCATAACTCGCCCACTCCACCCTCAGCCCGTGCGGGGTCCTGGTAGGTCCCTTGACCCGCCCCCGAGCTCGGGGACAGGTGAGGGGACAGCTGCGGGGGGGGGGGAGGGTCTGGGGACACAGGTGACCACTGCGGGGGTGGCCTGAGGACACAGGTGACAACTGCTGCGGCCACCTGGGCCACCGGACGGGAAGGGACCGGAGCGGTTCTCCCGGGCTGTGCCCACCTTAGGTGACATCGGGGACACCGCGGGGACTCTGGGGGGACACCGGGGGGTCCTGTGCCCGTCACCCYCCACGCCGCTCCCCGGCCGGTCCTGGGGACAAGGGACAGTCCCGGGGGCGCGGGGGACGGTCCCGGCCGAGGGACATTCCCACGGTGGCAGCTGGGACGCGGGGGAGGGGCAGCTCCTGGACACGGGAGTTTCCCACGGTGGCCGGGATGGGGCGGGGGGAGGGGGTCCCGCTCCGGCCACCGTAGCTTCCTACGGGGGGGTCGGGGGGGCATTCCCACGGTGATGGTCAAGGTGAGGAGGGGTCTCACTCCGGCCACGGGAGTTTCTCATGGTAGTGGTCAGAGTGGGGAGGGGTCTCACTCTGGCCACGGGAATTTCCCGCGGTGGTGGTCAGGGGTCTCGCTCCGGCCACGGGAGTTTCCCGCGGTGGTGGTCAGGGGTCTCGCTCCGGCCACGGGAGTTTCCTGCAGTGGTGGTCAAGGTGGGGAGGGGTCTTGCTCCGGCCACAGGAATTTCTCATGGTGGTGGCCAGAGTGGTCAGGGGTCTCACTCCGGCCACGGGAGTTTCCCACAGTGACCAGGATGGGGAGGGGTCTTGCTCTGGTCACGGGAGTTTCCCGCGGTGGTGGCCAAGGCGGGGACGGGTCTCATTCCGGCCACGGGAGTTTCGCGCGGTGGTGGCCAGGGGTCTCGCTCTGACCATGGGAGTTTCCTGAAGTGTGGTCTAGTGGGGAGGGGTCTCGGTCCGGCCACGGGAGTTTCGCACGGTGGTGGTCAAGTGGGGAGGGGTCTCACTCTGGCCACGGGAGTTTCCTGTGGTGGTGGTCAAGGTGGGGAGGGGTCTCACTCCGGCCACGGTAGTTTCCCGTGGTGGTGGTCAGGATGGGGAAGGGTCTCACTCCAGCCACAGGAATTTCTCATGGTGGTAGCCAGAGTGGTCAGGGGTCTCGCTCCGCCCACCGGAGCTTCCCATGGCGGGGTCCGGGGGCATTCCTGCAGTGGTGGTCAAATGGGGAGGGGTCTCACTCCGGCCACGGGAGTTTCCCACAGTGGTAGTCAGAGTGAGGGGTGGTCCCGCTCTGGCCACCAGAGTTTCCCACGGTGGTGGTCAAGGTGGGGAGGGGTCTCGCTCCAGCAACAGGAGTTTCCCRTGATGGTGGTCAGGGGTCTCACTCTGACCACGGGAGTTTCCTGCAGTGGTGGTCAGGGTGGGGAGGGTCCCGCTCCGGCCACAGGAATTTCTCATGGTGGTGGCCAGAGTGGTCARGGGTCTCACTCYGGCCAYGGGAGYTTCCAACGGTGGTGGTCAGGGTGAGGGATGGTCCCACTCCRGCCACCGGAGTTTCCSSTGGTGGTGGTCAAGGTGGGGAGGGGTCTCGCTCTGGCCACGGGAGTTTCCTGCAGTGGTGGTCAAGTGGGGAAGGGTCTCGCTCTGGCCACAGGAATTTCCTGCAGTGACCAGGACTCCCGATTTTCCCACKGTGGCACCTGGAGGGTCCTGCTCCTCGCAGGGACAGTGTCCCGGTGATAGGGACATGGTGGGGGTCCCCTCCCCCCTCATGGGGACATGGCGGGGGTCCCCTCGCCCCCCCCTCACCGGGGTCTCTCCTCCCAGGTTGTCCCCACTGCACCGGAGCGGCCGAACCGGACTGTGGAGCCCCCCAGGACACCCCGATGCCGTGGCCACCACCGTCCACTCTGCCGGACACCCCCTTCCCCAACCGGGCACTGGCCGTAGTGGCCGCGGTGGCCGAAGGGCTGCTGGCCCCCGGCTACTGGGCGCTGAACTGGCTGCTGGCCCTGCAGCCCACAACTGACCAACAGGCGCGCTGGCGGCGGCACCGGGCCGGACGTTTCCTYGGCGTGGCCGGCCGTGTCCTGGCGGCGCCGGCATTGGTCCTGGCGCTGGTCCTGGCGCTGCCCACGGCYGTCCTGGGGCTGCTGCTGTGGCTACCGGCTCAGGCCGCACGCCGGCCATTTGTCCATCAGTATTCAGCCACTGCGGCCACGGCCGAGCCGTGGGACCCACGGCGGCCCCATGGCCTCACCCTGCTGACCGCTAACGTGTGCCTGCTGCCCAGTGGCCTGGCCCGATTCAGCAACCTGGGTGACACCCGGCACCGCGCCGCGGTCATCGGTCAGCGCCTGGCGGCCGGAGCGCCCGCGGAACCTTCCGCTGACCGTGACGGATTGCTGGAGCCGCAGCTGGACGGGGGCTACGGGGGCTGCGGGGGAACGGTCAGCGCCGGGGCCTGGGAGTGGCCGGAGAGCGATTYGCGAATGGTGGACACACAGACGGCAGCTGATCCACCATCACAGATGGCATGGCCGGAGATGCCGATGACCAACCCAACAGCAATGGCTAGCCCATCACCAATGGTCAACCCATCATCGATGGTCAGCCTATCACCGTTGGCCAGCTCGGCACCGATGACCAACACATCACTGATGGCCAGCCCAACACCAATGACCAATACGATGCCATGGCTGGAGATGCCAATRACCAGCCCATCCCTGATGACCAACCCAACCCTGATGACCAGCCCAACACCGATGGCCAGTCCAACACTGATGACCACCCCACCACCAGTGACCAACCCCTGGCCACCAGCAGACTCAGTGCCAACACTGGACTTGCCGATGACCAACCCAACACCAGGACCCGCTCCATCACTGACCACTGACCATGGGCCGGAGCGGCCGATCCCACTGCCCGACCCGATGCCCTCGGTGCTGACCACCCGCATCCCGCCGGACACGGACATCGTGTGCCTSCAGGAGGTGTTCGATGGCCCTGCGGCCACCGTCCTGCGGCGCCGGCTCGGCCGCCGCTTCCCGCACGTGCTGTGGGGGGTRGGTCCGGGGGGGCTGCGCTGCGGCCGGCTGCGGCTACTGGGCAGTGGCCTGCTACTGGCCAGCCGCTTCCCGCTGCTGGCCGCTGGCTTCCACCCCTACCCCAACGCCGCCGGAGAGGAYGCGCTGGCCAACAAGGGGCTGCTGGTGGCACAGGTGAGGGGACATCCCGGGGGGGTGGCCGAGGTGACAYGCGGAGGGTGATGGGGAGTGGCTGAGGTGACAGGACTGACCAGGGTGCCATACAGTGGGTAATGGGACTGGCCGAGGTGGCACATGGGTGGTGACAGGGACTGGCTGAAGTGACAGGRCTGACCACGGTGACACGCGGGGGGTAACGGGACTGGCCAGGGTGACACACAGGGGGTAACAGGACTGGCCGAGGTGACACGCGGCAGGTGACGGGGACCAGCCGAGGTGACAAGGACAGGCCGAGGTGACAGAGACTGGCTGGGGTGAGACGGGGGTTTGACAGGACTGGCCGAGGTGACACATGGGGGGTGACAGGGACTGGCTGAGGTGACAGGGCTGGCTGGGGTGACACACAGGGGGTGACGGGGACTGGCCAAAGTGACAGGACTGACCAAGGTGACACACAGGCGGTAGACAGGGACCGGCCAAGGTGACAGGGATCGGCTGGGGTGATACGCGGGGGGTGACMGGACTGGCCGAGGTGACACATGGGGGATGACAGGAGCAGCCAAGGTGGCACATGGGTGGTGACAGGGACTGGCCAGGGTGACACACGGGCGATGTCCCCCCAGGTGCTGTTGGGGACAAGGCGTGGCCGGCGCGT